TTAAAATAAAACGCTGGATCGCAGTAGCCTTTGTAGTGGCGTGTGCCAAATTGAGCATGGTCTTAGGAGGAGCCTAACCTTTTGATTTTATCTTGTCAATAATTAGGATCTACTCTTGTTCCAATGAGATCTGATATTGTAGCCCATGTGCCAATATTGCAGTGCGTTACGCTTTTTTTGTAGCTTGAAATAGTGCGTAATAGGAAGCAGACCTTCGCCATAGTGATATCTGACCTAAATTAAGGTACTAGATTGAGCAGCAAACGCGTGTTCAAATTTTACTCAGAGCCGTTATTGGAATTTCAGGTTCGTTTTTGTAAATGTACGACATGTCTCAGACTGCTTTACTTAAAGGAATACGTGTGCATTAGACATTTACTACTCTCAAATATCATTAGCCTTCGGCCATGTATGAATCCGTGAATATCATCGGTTATTATACGATGAACCAAACACTATTAGTTACACCAACCGAAACGATTTGACACATTTTTTTAGGATATCTCTTTTACTATTTAGAGGCGACAGTGGGCTAATAATCTCCAATGCTTGACATAATGACGAGAGATGAATGATAAAGGAGGGGAAGGGGTCCAAACGGCATACATGATGTTATAAAATTCAATATGTTACAATCACCTACATGCCATACACCAGCCTCAGCGGCACGAGGTGTGCTGGATGCAAAGGGCTTGGAACGTGCGTGCAAGTAGTCAATTCTGAAGATTTTTTCTTCATTTTTTAAACATTTTTAGCAGTTAAATCTTAATTATACGTGCCGCTTTTAAATGCAATCTCTCTCCCATGCGAACATTAATGTTACATTGAGATAACTAACATAGTTTTTAAGAATCGATGTTTAAATTTTGAACATTCATGATTTGAAATGTACGCGATTCCTAAGAATGACGTCGTCAGGCTCCCTCTCTCTAAAAGCAGAGAAATGGAAGTTTTCGAACAACGTCGAATTGGAGATTGGGAATCTCGAATCAATTTGGGGAGCGGTGCGCCGTGTCTTGCTGCGTCCTCCAAGGAAGCTCTCCCCGCGGCGGCAGATGCGGCGGGGCTTAAGTAGCTTCAATTAACGAGCAGCCGGCGGCCGCAGTGACTCACCGGCTCGACGCGACGCGACACGACGCGACGCTCAATCAGCCTCCCCGCCCCGCCCCTGTCCACTTCGCCCCGCCCCGCCCCGCCCCACCGCGACGCTGGCGGACGAACGCTCAGGCAAATCAAGGCGACCGGCGGCGGCGCGTCCACCCTGCCGGCTCCAGCCACTTCACTGCGCGCTTTAGAGCAGCAGCCTCCAGCGTAGAAACAGTTCCGACTGTTGACAGATGAAATATAAAGGGTCCTACTACTGTACAATATGCCACGAAGAAATATATATTACATTCTTCATACTTCCAGGCAACGTTCAATAATTTTAGCAATATATAATGTACATTTATCAATGCAAATCAGAACATTTATGAGTCCTCGGTGATATCTGTACGACCACATTACACATTACACCAGATTTTGTAACTTAATAATTTTCCCAGAGAGTTATATATTTGCGCCTAACGATTAGACACGAAGACAATAAAAACATCCCATGTCTCTGCGAGTTGCGATATAGCATCCAAGTGTTATCGAGAGTTGCTTGCTGTGTATTCAGTATGAGATGCTACATTCAGTTACTTGACTGTCTTGTCGTGTAGTCCGAATTAACTGGTGAAATGGATGAATTGTAAACACTGTGTAAGTCTTTTTAAAAACGTGACATCAATTTGCACCTTTTCTAACATTAGCACACCCTCGGAAATTTCTTAATTTTGTGTACTGATTTTTTGTTCCGAGGTAATTTTAAGGTGAGTTTCAAGTTAATTCAATTGTAATTCTGATTCGTTTTAATAGTCATTAACAATAGTTGAATTTCGGTGTCTGTATCACATATTTAGTCTCCAATTGGCGAAATAAGTTGACTTTTGTAATACTGTAATTTTTTTACTTACTCTTTTATTAGTAAATAGCTTGTGTAGCGAGTGACATGCATGTGGCAGAAAGGGGGCCTTAAAAGCGGAATGAAGAGTTCCTTTGAGGGCGCGAGCGCCGTTGAAGTGAGATGTGGTGTCCTCCTCCGCGCGGGCGGCAGGCAGTGTACAGCCCTCGAGCGGAGCACAGCGCGGCGAGCGAACGGGCTGGGGCGGAAGGAAGTGGATTAGGCCTCTGGGAACCGCTTTACGGGGGCCGCCCCGCCCT